TGCCCTCCACTGTGCTCCCAGTCACTCCCAGTCGCTCCCAGTACTCCCTGTCCCTCCAGTCCCTCCCACTCCCTTCCCTTCCCGCTCCCCTCCAGTCCCTCCCGCTCCCTCCTAATCCCCTCCCAGTCCCTCCCAGTCCCTCCTACTCCGCTCCCGATCCCTCCCAGTCCGTCCCAGTGCCCCCACTGACCACTGATGGTCGCTTCTTCTGTGCCTGCCCGTTGATGGACGATGATGGGCCCTTCGAGCTCGGCGGGCGCGATGACGTTGCCGCGGTTGCCGAGGGTGAACACGGTGTTCCTGTTCTTCAGGGACGGCTTGGAGAAGAACCGTGCCAAGGTCAAGGAATCTTGGGATGGCCCCCAGCGTTGTGTCCTCCCCCCCCCCCGCCCGGAATTCCCGGGGAAACCCCCTCCCCCAGATCTCCTGGGTAATTTCCAGAGATATCCTTCCCTTGGCCCCTGTCACTCGACGCCATCAGGGTCGTCCTTCTCCGCCACCTCCTCGTACTGGGGATGAGGAAAAAACAGGGAAAAAAAAGGTGGGATGAGATTCCCAAAGGCTCTGGGAGGGGCCTCTCCTGCTGAAAAAGCGGGATTGGAGGCTCGGGATGCCCGGGGAGCGCCGGGATCCCGCCCGGGGGCGGCCGGATTCCCGCCGGGATCGCGAGGAGGCGACGGGGGGAGGGAGGAACTCGGAGCTTCCCCGGGGGTTCCAGGTGGGATCCATCCCAAAATACCCCCAAAATTCCCTCTAAAATCCTCTCAGCATCTCAAAAATTGGGATAAGCCCCCAAAAGTTGGGATCAGCATCCCAAAATTCCCTAAAAACCCCAAATTCCCACCTGGATCTTCAGCCAACAAATGACACAGGAAGGAACGTGGATCTTCCTCAGCAATTCCAGGTGGGATCCATCCCCAAAAAAACCCCCCAAAATCCCTCCAAAACCTTCTTAGCATCTCCAAAATCAGGATAACCCCCCAAAAGTTGGGATTAGCATCCCAAAATTCCCTAAAAAAACCCCAAATTCCCACCTGGATCTTTACCCGCAGGATTGAACATGGATCTTCCCCAGGGGATTCCAGGTGGGATCCATCCCCAAAAAAAACCCCAAAATTCCCTCCAAACCCCTCTCAGCACCCCAAAAATTGGGATAACCCCTCGAAAATTGGGATCAGCATCCCAAAATTCCCTAAAAATCCCCCGGATATGGCCTCCAAAATCTGGATCTTCACCCCACGAACTCCCCATGGGATGGAAGTGTGGAGCTTCCCCAGGGAATTCCAGCTGGGATCATCCCCAAAAAACCCCCCAAATCCTCTTCCAAAACCCCCTCCAGCATCGTCAAAAATTGGATAAACCCACTTCGAAAATTGGAATCAGCATCCCAAAATTCCCTAAAAACCCCCATAATTCCCACCAGATCTTCCCAGGGAATTGTTCGTGGCTTTCTTCCCCGACGGATCCAAGTGATCCATCCCATAAAATCCGCCCCCAAAACAACTCCCAGCCCCTCCCCCGCCCCTCCAGCATTCCCAAATCCCCCAGAATTCCCACCTGGATCTTCATGAGGCGCCCGGTGTAGGATTTGAAGTAGGAGAAGTAGATCCTGCTGACGGTCTCCACGTACTGATCCCGTAATTCCTGCGCCACGTTCCGCTCGTTCCCCAGCAGGAACTGGTAGAAAAACCTGGAATTCCGGGATTTTTCCCAGCTCTGTCGGGATCCAGGCCCCCGAAATTCCCACCCTGGGGGGGTTTTTTTTGGGAATTGCTCACTTGTATTTGAGGAGGGAGTTCTGGGGGATCTGGTAGTTGGTCATGGGCTTGCGGAAGGAGTAAATCTTCTGCAGGACGAATTCCCGGATTTTGGTGACGGCCTGCGGGAATTTCGGGATGAAAGAAGGGATTTGGGTGCTCCCAGTCCATCCCAGTTCCTCCCAGTACATCCCAGTATCCTCCAGTTTGTGCCAGGGCCTCCCAGTCCCTCCCAGTGTCTCATCCTGAGCAGGAATTCCTGAATTTTGGGGATGGATTTGGGATAAAAGGGAGGATTTGGGAGGACTTCCAGTTCATCCCAGTTCTTCCCAGTTCCTCCCAGTCCATCCCAGTTCATCCCAGTCCGTCCCAGTTCCTCCCAGTCCATCCCAGTACCCTCCAGTTTGTGCCAGTGCCTCCCAGTCCCTCCCAGTGCCTCATCCTGAGCAGGAATTCCTGGATTTTGGGGATGGATTTGGGATAAAAGGGGGGATTTGGGAGGGGCTCACAGGGCTCCCAGTTCCTCCCAGTTCATCCCAGTCCATCCCAGTACCCTCCAGTTTGTGCCAGTGCCTCCCAGTCCCTCCCAGGGCCTCATCCTGAGCAGGAATTCCTGAATTTTGGGGATGGATTTGGGATAAAAGGGGGGATTTGGGAGGGGCTCACGGGGCTCCCAGTTCATCCCAGTTCCTCCCAGTCCATCCCAGTATCCTCCAGTTTGTGCCAGGGCCTCCCAGTGTCTCCAAACTCTTCCTCTGGGAATGGAATTCCCGGATTTTGGGGATGGATTTGGGATAAAAGGGGGGATTTGGGAGGGGCTCACAGGGCTCCCAGTTCCTCCCAGTCCATCCCAGTTCCTCCCAGTCCATCCCAGTATCCTCCAGTTTGTGCCAGTGCCTCCCAGTGTCTCCAAACTCTTCCTCTGGGAATGGAATTCCCGGATTTTGGGGATGGATTTGGGATAAAAGGGAGGATTTGGGGGGGCTCCCAGTTCATCCCAGTTCCTCCCAGTTCATCCCAGTACATCCCAGTATCCTCCAGTTTGTGCCAGTGCCTCCCAGTCCCTCCCAGCTCTTCCTCCAGGGATGGAATTTCCGGATTTTGGGGATGGATTTGGGATAAAAGGGGGGATGTGGGAGGTCTCCCAGTTCATCCCAGTCCGTCCCAGTTCTTCCCAGTCCATCCCAGTGCCCTCCCACTGTGTTTTATTGGGCTCCCCTTGCAACTCCAGCCATTCCTTGGAATTCTGGCCATTCCCTGGAATTCCGGGACCATCCCCAGGAATTTTGGGGTCTCCCCACCTCGATCTTGCCTCCCAGTTCCTCCCAGTGCTCCCAGTTGCCCTCCCACTGTTTTTTTCGGTTCCCCTGGGAATTCTGGCCATCCCTTGGAATTCTGAGCATTCCCTGGAATTCTGGGACCATCCCCTGGAATTCTGGGAGCATTCCCAGGAATTCTGGAGTTTCCCCACCTCGATCTTCTCCACCCTGTTCTGGGCTTTGCCTCCCAGTCCCCTCCCAGTGGCTTTTTGGGTTCCCCTTGGAATTCCGGCCATCCCTTGGAATTCTGGGCATTCCCTGGGATTCTGGGTATCCCTTGGAATTCTGGGATTGTTCCTGGGGATTTCTGGAACCTTCCCACCTTGACCTTGACCTTCTCCAGGCCGTGCTGGCCACTCACTCCCAGTGCCCTCCCAGTGCCCTCCCACTGGTTTTTTGGGTTCTCCTTGGAATTCTGAGCATTCCCTGGAATTCTGAGCATTCCCAGGAATTCCGGGCATTCCCAGGAATTCTGGGCATTCCCAGGAATTCCCACCTTGACCTTGAGCTTCTCCACCCTGTTCTGGGCAGGCCACTCACTCCCAGTGCCCTCCCAGTGCCTTCCCCCTGGTTTTTTGGGTTCCCCTTGGAATTCTGGCCATTCCCAGGAATTCTGAGCATTCCCTGGAATTCTGGCCATCCCTTGGAATTCTGGGACCATCCCCTGGAATTCTGGGAGGATTCCCAGGAATTCTGGAGTTTCCCCACCTTGATCTTCTCCACCCTGTTCTGGGCTTTGCCTCCCAGTCCCCTCCCAGTGGCTTTTTGGGTTCCCCTTGGAATTCCGGCCATCCCTTGGAATTCTGGGCATTCCCTGGAATTCTGGGTATCCCTTGGAATTCTGGGATTGTTCCTGGGGATTTTTGGAACCTTCCCACCTTGACCTTGACCTTCTCCAGGCCGTGCTGGCCACTCACTCCCAGTGCCCTCCCAGTGCCCTCCCACTGGTTTTTTGGGTTCTCCTTGGAATTCTGAGCATTCCCTGGAATTCTGAGCATTCCCTGGAATTCTGAGCATTCCCTGGAATTCTGGCCATTCCCAGGAATTCCCACCTTGACCTTGAGCTTCTCCACCCTGTTCTGGGCTGGCCACTCACTCCCAGTGCCCTCCCAGTGCCTTCCCCCTGGTTTTTTGGGTTCCCCTTGGAATTCTGGCCATTCCCAGGAATTCTGAGCATTCCCTGGAATTCTGGGCATTCCCAGGAATTCTGGGACCATTCCCTGGAATTCTGGGAGCATCCCCAGGAATTCTGGAGTTTCCCCACCTTGATCTTCTCCACCCTGTTCTGGGCTTTGCCTCCCAGTCCCCTCCCAGTGGCTTTTTGGGTTCCCCTTGGAATTCTGAGCATTCCCTGGAATTCTGGGCATTCCTTGGAATTCTGAGCACTCCCAGGAATTCTGGGCATTCCCAGGAATTCCCACCTTGACCTTGAGCTTCTCCAGGACGTGCTGGACGTCGGCACAGGCGAGGGTGTCGCGGAATGCCTGTTCCTTCACCGCCTCGATCTTCCCGTTCAGCTCCCGCAGCTGCTCCAGGAATTCCGGCTCCGTCACCGGCACCTCCAGGATCACGCTGGGGGGGCACAAAACGTTCCCAAAAAAAGACCCAAAACGGCCCAAAAAATCAGCAAAAATTCGGAAAAAAAATCCGCAAAAATTCGAAAAAAAATTCCCGAAAATTCGAATAAAAAATCCTCCCAAAAATCCTCAAAAAATCCAAAAAATGCCAAAAAATCCCCAAAACGTCCCAAAAATGCCAAAAAATGCCCCAAAAACATCGCTAAAAAATCCCCCAAAAGCCAAAAAATCCACCAAAATCCGCAAAAATCCCCAAAAATCCCCAAAACATCCCAAAAAATCAAAAAAAAATCCCAAAAAAATCCACAAAAATCCCCCAAAAAATCCTCAAAAATCCCCCCAAAAATCCCCCGAAAATCCCAAAAAATCCCCAAAAAATCCCCAAAAAAATCCCAAAAAATCCCCCAAATCCCAAAGAATTCCAAATATCCCGAATCCCACTTTTTCCCCTCAGAATTCCATGTTTTCCCCTCCCACCTGATCATGTTGGGGGGCACGACGAGCTCGTCCAGGAGGCTCCCGAGGCGCTCCCGGATTTCCCGACGGTTGCGCAGCCGGAGGTTCATGGCCACGGATTGGTCCTGGAGAGCCCGGATCTCCCAGCTCAGGCTGCTCAGGTCGCTCTGGAACGAGCTCAGCATCTGCTCCATGCGCTGGGGGGACAGTTTGGGGACATTTTGGGACATTTTGGGGACATTTGGGGCCATTTTGGGGCAATTTGGAGACATTTCGGGGCAATTTTGAGGCCATTTTGGGTCACTTTGGAGCCATTTTGGGACCATTTGAGGCTGTTTAGAGGCACTTTGGGATCATCTGGGGACACTTTGGGATCATTTGGGGACACTTTGGGATCATTTGGGGACACTTTGGG